AGCTGTGGTGAGTGCTGGGCATGGGAAGTGGGCGGTGCTGTGAGAACTCTTGATGAGAATCTCTCCCAGTCTCGGGGGTCCAATATGGTACCCTAAAGAAGTGCAACTTGAACTGAGGTTGACGTCTCAAAGGGGAGTAGCAGGAGCGCATTCTAGGCAATGAGGACAGACCTTGCAAAGGCCCTGTGCTAGGTGGATGTCTGGACCATTCTGGAAAGGCCATGTGGCTGGTGGGCAGAGAAGTTATGAACCAGTTAGTAGATGACTCCACTGGGGGCACAACCCCTGGGTTCCTTCCAAGAAGATGACCTTAGTTCATCTCAGTTTTCTCACCACAGTGTGTAATAGTTACAGATGCCATCTGTAATTTCACTTGTAGATTAATGTGCCATGTGATAAACAGTTGGGTGGTATACTGGCTGCCATTCTGTAAAACGTTCTTCATCAGGCAATGTCTGATCACCTTAAGATGGGAATGAAGGGAGAGTAGAGTAAGCCAGCAATAATAGCCAAAGATGCCATCTCCTTTCTTTCGTTTATGTGCTTATTAGATTTTTCTTTTAATTTTCCTTTCCTTCTGGCCCCTGCTGCTCAGGACTCCATAGGGAGACTATCTGTGTTTTATACGTATTTGTTATAAACTAAGGAAAAGGACACTATAGAAACTTTTACTTACTAAGAAGGTGTTAAGCAAAGGGATCTATTCCAAGTTAGAATAGAATAGGTTACAACTGGTCTTTACTTCTCCACTAAAAAGTTTTCAGATCATCTGATCTTTTGACCTTGCCTGGCACTGTCTCCTAACTGTGTAGACCTAGGCTGAACATTTCTTGTCGGCCCCTCTTATGACGAAAGGCTGTTGTACTTGACCTGAAGTTGGAGGTGTTTAGTTGCTTGTTCTCTGAACCTGCCCCATCCCCCACCCCCAGTGGCTTGGAGCCAATGGGAAATACCTGGGGCTAACTTCATCTTGAGAATGCCTCATTTATGCACTGACTAGAGTCCTTTCTAGTCTTCTTGTTCCTTTCCTTGTTCCTCAAGTACGTCCCGTAGACTCCCTTGTGCATTTTGGTTCTGGGTCTGATCGTTCTTGGTTTTGTATGTTTTCTGGTTGGTGGCTGACTTTAAATCTCATGAGTCAGGTTTATATACCCTTGTTAGCATTTATACTCAGCTGTCCCAGCATGTGGGAGCAGGTGTGTTGTCTACCGCCTTGCTCTTTAGGTTGTAATTTGCTCACCGTCTTCAAACGCAAGACCTACTCTAATGACTAACCCAGAGAAGAATGCCTTTTTGTTTCCAAACTGATGGGCTGTTCTCTTGTTCCTGCTCTGCCGGTTCTTTGTTTCCCTGTAGTTTGAATGAGTCTCTGATTCTTGACAAAAATATGTGATAGGATGACTCACATCTGCTGTTTGGCTAGACCCATTCCTTAATCTTGGCTGTGAACTAACAATCCCATTAGGGTCTTCTCTGTGGAATATTACAGGGTAGGGTCTGGAATATTATAATAGTTTAGATATATGTTAAAACCAAATAATTCTTCAGATGAGGAGATAATCTTTCACTAGAAAAGGAGATGAGAAGATAGCCTGGGAACTTAGTCTGGTGCCGGGTTATAATAATCTCTGAGCCAAAACCTGTGATGAGGCTTTCCTGAAGAATAGAAGTTAAATTACTTGCTGCTCACATGGTTCTAATCACTGTTTTCCCATGCTCCCTGGAATAAATTGTGGTCTAATAGTCTTCCTATTTTTGCTACTATAACTAGCCAACATTTCTGCGTATTTATTATCTGATAGCCACCAACCTAAGTGCTTTGCATGGTCTGTCTCATTTAAAATCCTTAAACCAAAAATAAGCAACAATTACTTTCTGAGGTCATTTACGTGTGGTGGAAGCAGATAATGTACAACTACAATTTAGACATTGCTGCAGAGCTTTTAAAAAATTGTTTTCAGGGGCTGGTCTTGTGGCATAGTGGTTAAGTTCAGTGTGCGCTGCTTCAGCAGGCCGAGTTCATGGGTTTGGATCCTGGATGTGGACCTACACCACTCATTAGCCATGCTGTGGTGGTGACCCACATATAAAGTAGAGGAAGATTGGCATGGATGTTAGCTCAAAAATAAAGTAAAAAAGGGTTTCAAACTTTTTTGACTATAACCCTCAAGTAAGAATTATATGTGTGTGTGTGTCTGAAACAGAAGTTTTGTGGAGTTATGCTTGTTATGATATATTTTCCTATTCCAAAGTGGCTCTGACTCTCTAAATGGATTTTACTGCTCACTAATGAGTAGTAACTTGCAAGATTAATATAAGAAATTAACAGTGACGTTCTGATGTCATCTGGGAGACCAGACTGAACTAACACCTGTGCTTAATCTATGGTTATACTTTACAAAATTTGTGTATCCTTATAGACAGGGACCAAAGGGAACATGGAATGTGTGCTGAGCATATTCCAAGTGTTAAGCACCATGCTAGGTTCTGAAGACACAGGACGGACCAATTATTGGAGCAATTTACTTCCTTTCCCAAAAAAAGGAAAGTTATCTGCTCTAATATATATACTTTGTATAACTTGTTAAACTGGCATTTTACCTAGAGATGGTTTTTTTTTTTTTTTTTTTGAGGAAGATTAACCCTGAGCTAACTACTGCCAATCCTCCTCTTTTATTTGCTGAGGAAGACTGGCCTTGAGCTAACATCCATGCCCATCTTCCTCCACCTTATACATGGGACGCCCACCACAGCATGGCTTTTTGCCAAGCGGTGCCATGTCCACACCCGGGATCCGAACCAGCGAACCCCGAGCCGCTGAGAAGCAAAACGTGCTAACTTAACTGCTGCACCACTGGGCCAGCCCCTAGAGATGATATTTTGAAGATCCATATTAAACAAGGCAAGCCAAAACTAAGGCAAAAACAGAATAACTACTTAACCAGGGATAGATGAGAGTTTCCCTCCCTCAGGTTTTCCTTTGTCCTGCCTCTTCTTGAGGTAGCAGGTCAGTAAGAGCCTAGACCAGACTGGGCCAGATCCTTAACAAATCTGTAACAAAAATTTAATCATCTTTTAAGGTAAAGTATGTTTAATAAAGGGTTCATTTTCTCTTTAGGAGGTAAGTCAGTAGTGAGTAATACTGGCTGTTTCCTAACATGATTGTTTGCTGCTTTCAACTAGGTGGCTGTTTCATTAATTCCAGTCATACCCCTGGCACGCCCTCCCACCCACCTCAGCTCTCACTGTGGGCTGTAATAAGAGGAATTTAGGAGACAGTCAAAATATCAGAGATTGTCTCTGCCATTAAAAAACAAAACAAACTCATTCCTATCCCCCTTCCCATACACTGTTAGAAAATAGTCTCTTAACACTTTAAAGCAGTGAAGGCACTTGAGTATATGGAAATCTCATGTATCATATATTACCATAAAGATTCCTAGTTACATTCCACAAATCTTCTGAAGGCTATGAAATCTAGAGTACAGTGTTAGGACTGGCCTAGAGTTGCTGAAACTTGAGCTTTACCTTTACTGATATGTTTATCTTATGTTTTTTGGCATGTTCTTAGGAGACAGAGCCTTCTGCCCAATGGCTTGTTGGCATCTGTTAGTATACTGGCGTGAGGCAGTATGGGTTTTAGCCTGAGTTCTACATTAACTAGCTTTGTGTCCTGGACTGGGTCACATAGTGCATCTCAGTTTCCTTCTCATCTGTAGGATGAAAGATTGGGCTGAGTATTCTCCAAGGGCTTGGAGCTTTATGATCTAGGTCTATGTTCTGAAGCTTTCTGTTTGGGAAAATGCAGCAAAGCAAAGGATTCATTACTAACTCATCTTTATTTGTGCTGACAAAAATAATGAAACATTTTCTGTAGGGAATAATAGCCATCTATTCTCATGTTCTGTTTTTTTTACCTTTCTGGTTCAATTATGGCTTATTTTTAATAAATAATTTTATTTTTAATAATATAGTATTTAATAATTTTATTTAATCATGTTTAATAATTTTATTTTTAATAAATAAATAATAATTATGAATTATTATTCATCCTTGGGAGATTTTTGCTGGTATTTGTTGGGTGTTTTGATTACAGCTGAATATCATCTTGTGTCAAGAGGAGCTTTATACTTTGTTCAGGATCTTTATGATGTATAAGACCATGATTTGGCCACATAGAGGTATTGCTGATAGTTCTGGTTTTCCTTCATCACATAGAGGTTTCATAAGATGGAAGAAATAAAAGTATTAGTGATATGAAACAATGTTATGTGAGGTGAGACTGAAGGTTTTCTGTTTGGTCAGTAAAGAAGAAAATTAGGAAGGGTTGGGAACAGAATCTAATACCAGTATACCATGATGTCATGGATAGGGTAGGTGTGTTCCTATTTACCAAGCTAGAATCCCAAACTGGGGGGTATTTTTTCAGCCCATATTATTACATTATCCTTATGTTTGTGAAAAGTTCACTTAAAGTCCTTTTCAATCTGCCTAAAGTCCTAATGCCTACTACATTTTTAAAATGATTGGTAGAATAGGAGATAACTATTGTTGGTGTCTGAAGCCATATGAGTATAACATTAATCTCAGTCATTTCTTTAGTGTCACCCTTGAGATACATGGAACCATTGGATTTTTCTGAATGGTTGGTGATCTATATCATCTGCCAGAGTGTAGCTTAAATAACAACAAATGCTATCTTTTCTTGTTTCTCAAGGATAGTCACATAGTTTTCATGTACCCTTTCACACATCCTTTATTATCCATTTTTAGATACATTAAAAATGAAGCCCTCTTTCTACCATACACCTCTCAAATCCTATTAAATCTCAAGAATTCACACAGAATAAGAGCATGATGTATCCTGTTCAGTCATTAGTTTTCTCTTTGATGTGAAGGTGTTTGAAAGTGGTTCATTCTACCTTTACAAATTGTGTTAGTTCTTTATCGTCCTAGGGTGAATGTGCTAAATGAACTTAAATCTGTTCTTTCCCCAACAGGGTTAATCATCTCATTTTAGTGGAGCCTTGGGGTTTTCCTGAGCGACCAGACCTTGCTGATCAAGACAGACCAATTCCAGTTTGGATCAGAGCCTTGGGAGCAGCATTGACTCCTTTTAACCCTTTAGCTGGCCTCAGGATTGCAGGGCCCTTTGGTGAGTGCTTATGTCTGTGTCCTAGGAAAGCAGAATGTTTATAGATTAGCAGTAGAGGAGTATTTTAGTTGAAAATCTTAAAACAAAAAAATGGAAACAATTTTTCTCCTCCTCCTAAAAAGTACCAGTCCATTCATAAAGTTGAATGAAACCAGACTCTTCTCCTTGAAGAGGAGTCTTTATATTGTAAACATTACAGGTAATTAGCAAAGCAGAGAAAGGCAGGAAATGCTGAGGATGAGGATAGCTGGCCTTGAACATTCTGAAAAAAGCCAAGCAAGCAGAGTGTCTTTGGGAGGTTTATCTGCTAGCCCAGCACATTGGGAGAAGTGCAGCATGTTGACCTGTTGGTGAACATTAGAGAGCATTTGGCTGGTTGATCATATCCAGCCGGCAGGTAGGTCACAAAGCCTGACTGATCCACCATGGGAACGACAGACACCATCACACTTACAAATTCTTTCCTTGCCCCATAATGTTAGAGTGTTTAGAAGATAGTCATCCTTTTCCACAAAGATTTTGGGGACTCCTTATTTGTGTTTCTGGTCACATTTTGAGGGTACCAATGTTTAGTCTCTGATTTAAGTTCACTTGACTCTCAGCTCCTCTGTCTCAGCCCCACAGCCAAGGGAATTTCCTTTCCTTGTTGTCGGAGATGGTGATGGTCTGGACCTCTGCCTTTTTCTCTTAAAACTTATGTCAGTTAGAAGCACTTCTAGCTGAAAGTAACTCACTGCCTAAGTGGTTTAAAACATAAGGCCTTTTCTTATTTCCTTAACAAGCAGTCTAGAGGCAGGTGGTTTTAGCATTTGTTCTCGTAGCTAGCTAATTGTTGTTAGGGTTTGAGTCTGTGTCTGTGATTCTCTCGACCTTTTTCCTCACAGTTGTGTGATGGCTGCTATGGCAGGAAGCATTGTCCCACAAAGCAGCACTCTGAGCAAGAAGGGAAAGCATGGAAAATGGTTCTTCTCTCCAAGATGCTCTTTGTCAGGGGGAAAAAATCTTACCTGGAAGTCCCCAGCAGACCTCCGCTTATGTTTCTGCCCACCCCTAGTTCTTCTACCAGCAGAAAAGAAGAAATCTCTGTGACCGATCAATCGTGATTTGTTCCCAAGGGATGAGTGAGGGGCTTGCTTTCCTGGGCATGTTGCTGCCTAATTAATATACAAAAGTTAGGTTCTGTTACAGCAGGAAAGGAAGAGAGGCATGGGGTATGGGGGGGGGTGGGTGGTGTTGTGGGTGAGGGTATGGAAATACTGCTGCATAGGTGACTGTAGATTCTGCACCCCTCAGCCAGGCCTGGCCCTCCTTGCCCTTTGAGGTAGGGAGAACAGTGGGACTGCAGGAATCACACGAGGGCACAGGAGTTGAACTGGTAACCACACTACGCTCCCTCAGTGTTCTTATAGATAGCCTTTTTCCCTCCCCTCAGTCTTTCACCCCTCTCTAATAGAGCCACTCCTTCTTAGGTACCTGGTTCTCCTTTGATGAACTACATCGTTTAATCTGTATAGTCCTGAAATATAAGTGGATTTTGCTTGCTCACAGTTACACAAGTAGCAATTATGGGAAAAGTTAAAGTATGAGAAGAAATTTGGAGACAGGGGTGGGGGAGGGAGGATGCTTAGGGGGGAGGGGACCTTTAAAGCCATGTCCTCTGTCTCCCATTATGGCTTGCATGTGGAGGTGCTAGTGGGGGGTGATGTAGAGTGTCACCTGCATCCTAGAAAGTCTTGATGGAGCTGTATAATTCCTTCGCAGGTAGAAAAGTAGGGCCAGGAAAGAAGTAAGACTTTGCTAGGTTAATGGACAGTGATAGCAGAAAGAGAAACTGGCCAGTCTTGGGGACCCTAGAAGGGAAAACAGATGACTAGACGAAGGCTCCCGCTCTTCTCCCTCTTTTCTTTTGGGGGCCTAGTCCCTGCCTCTCACCTCAGGAGTGGCACCATGGAGGCCACTGTGGATGGCCTTAGCAGGGAGTATTGCTAGTGACCCAAGCAGAAACTGAATTTATTTTCCCACAGAAATATTTATATATCCCAATTCACTTTATTTAGATGTTAATGTGTTGGAATTGTGGAAGAAATACAAGTTAATAAGTTAATTTTATGTGTGAGCTGCTCTGTTCACCTGCCATGTTTAATAGAATTTATTTTCCTACAAAAAGAAGTCTTAGACAACTAACTTATGTTTTTGAGCTTCTAAAGCACATCTGTAAGTCAGTATATTTTTATATTTAATTTTTTATTTTATTTATATTTATAAAGTTATAAATATAAATATAAATTTATATATTTATATATAAATATATATAAATAAAATATAAAATTAAAAGATATATATTTATAAAATTAAATTTTATATTTAACTCTTTAATTTTTATTTTGATCTTAGGGAACTTGAGGAGAGCAGCTTCTAGGATCTGTGCTTTTTTTCTACCTAAAATATATATTTGAATACATGTATATATGTAGCATGTAACACAGCATACAAGCAAACACTAAAACTTCGTCTTAATTAGTCTGTAAATCTATTATAATTTAAAACATACATATAATTTAAAACACTCATTTCCTGTTAAATAGGTTTAAGTCTAGTGCAGCGTTTAAGGCCTGATTTCAAACGGAAGTATTCTTCGATGTTTGAAGATGATACTGTGACAGAATACATCTACCACTGTAATGTACAGACTCCAAGGTAAGGGTTATGATTCTAAATTTACTGTGTTTGTGTTTTAGACTTTTTTTTTTTAAATATAGGAATAGTCCAGGAGATTTTTATCAGTAGTTAAATGACTAAATTTAAAAGGACAAGTAGTTAAATGACTGTTACTTCTTAACTTACTCATCTATTCATGGGATACCTACTATATAAAACATTGTGCTAGATTCTGATGGGAGTTTAAAAAGCAAGATGTACTTTATCTTGCCCTAAGGTGCTTATGGGTAACTTGAGGAAATCTTGGTCTTAGGCAGTTCTAGAAAGTGGTTGGAGTTGAGAGAGTTTCAAGTAAAATAGCATTTCCAAACTGAGTATGAATATTCTACAAAAATAGGGGTGCTGGATTAAAACAAAAGTAAATGGTTTTCTATACCTTGGATCTTCTTATAATCTTTTACTCTGCCAAACGGTATTAAATCCCCAAATGCATGGGAGATGCTATGCAACATTTTTCAAGTTCAGTTGATGATTATACCCCTTTTTTACAGAGTAACTCTTAATGTCTATAGATCAGCATCCGAAACACTGCTGCCATGGGAGAGGGGTTGAGTAGAGGGGGAGGGGGCTTCTGCATGTATTTTGACAGTGATTAGAAGAAGGAGAGAGAGAGAGAGCATAGTAGCTAGAGGGAGCAAGAGGACCAAACAGAAGTGTTTCTTATCTTTAAAAAAATATGACTTAGGGATGTTGAGTGCAAGGCACCCATGGAGAAAACAGAGCCTGAAGTTAGTGGAGATCTAGGAAAAACCTGAAAGACAAGACCCTAGAGTCGCTAGGGAGAGGATCAAGAGTGGAGTGTCAAGGTGCGAGCTCCGGTTCTCATGCTTCGTTGTGTACCAGAATTATTGGGAGAGCTTGTCAAAAATGTGATTCCTGAGCCCTGTCTCTAAGACTCTGATTCAGCAGGTACTTTTGGGCCTTTAACAAAAGCCCTTTTGTTAAAGATGGGCTGCCTCTTTAACAAATGTTGCAGATGATTCTAGTATAGGTGGGCCGTGGACCACATTTTAAAACATAGAAGTAATACCTCATCCTTTCTAAGACTGAGGCTTGGGTGAAAGGCTGTGGCTGGATGCAGAGTCAGCCTCCCTCGCCTTTTCTCCTCCCTCACTTTTGGTGGAAGATATCTACACACACTTTATTAAAAAGATTGAGGCCGTGAAAGCTGTTGAAGTGTAGCTGTAGCCTTAGTCTTTTGAATAAAGTAGGTTAGAGGTTCTCTGCCAAGAGTGAGGGAGGCTGGAGCGGTTTGGGGTACTCAAGAGATTAATGTTTTGTGACTCACTAGGCAATTGGGTCTGGTAGATTAGATCTTTATTCACTTCCACCTGGTCTGTCCCAGGTGCCTCATCTATTTCCCTGCATGACTGAAGTGTTTTATTCTTCGCTTACTCACATTTCGTGATTACCCAGGTCTGTGTAGTCCTAGTGTGTTGCCTTTCTTGTGGAGGAACTTGAATTCTTCATAAAATACATTTTGTAATTTTGCCTAGTACCACAATGGAAGCAGAAATGACAGCAAAATGGATCTATCCTGGGAGTTTGCCAAGTGTTCCTTGTTCTTTTATGTGATGGTCAGTCAGGTGTGGTCATGAAAAAAGATATAGAAGAGGCCCAAGAAAACAAATTTTATTATATTCACAGGTCCTAGAGAGTGGGTCACTGAATGCCATGAAGGGTCACAGGGGGCTGCCAGATTTTGGTCAGGTGGCAGAACATAGGGGTGAAGGAAAAGTCTAGGCCACAGCCTTCATTGGATTCTTCAGAAAAGGCAAGGCAGGGAAGGATGAACAGTTTAGGACTGGCTAGTTGAATAATTTCTGTGGCCTCTAAGATGTAGGGTTGGTCTCTATTTACCTAGCCCTGAGATGATTAAGGCAGAGGAATATTGCCTCCTGGGATATGTGGGCTGGACAGAAGAGATATGGCTCCAGATTGGTTAGTTTGCATATCAAAGACATGTTCCTCATGCAGAGTCAGCCTTCCTCACTTTTTTTTCTACCTCTAAGAATTTGCTAGCTCCAGGAGGCACAGTCTCCCCCCAGCCAGAGAGATTTTTTAAAATGTCAAACACCATAATAAAAATTGTTAATTTTTATTAGAAACACCATAAGAAAATAAGAAATTTAAATAAGTTAAATAAGAAAATTAACAATATAAACAATACAAAAGAATACTTAATCTAAGTTTCTTCTTATCTTGTTATTGATTTTCCCATTACAGGTAAAAAACTGGTACCATGAACCTGTGGAAAAGCTACCTTCTATATTTGAAATGTTAGACTGAAAAAACACATTTTAGCTTATCCCTGTAGGGAATTTAATAATTTAATGATACGGAGTTAGGGTTGCTTGTTTGGATTTAGAACATGATACTTTTTTTTCATCAATCAGAGTTTGGAGCATCCTTGTTTATCTAACAAAACATATATCTTCTGTGGGGTATATACAGAAGTATATGTCTTCCGTGAGGTTTGTTCCTTACAATTTTAGTAAATTATTTTCCCTTTAAGCTGAGGCTTTTCTTAAATGGGGTCTTGAGAAGCTAAATATGAGTGTGTTTTGATAGAGGTATGAGTGTGAGACATACTCATCCACAGAAGTAATACCTGTGATTTTCTCCTTTTCCTTTAAGCGGTGAGACAGCATTCAAAAATATGACTGTTCCTTACGGATGGGCAAAAAGGCCAATGCTCCAGCGAATTGGTAAAATGCACCCTGACATTCCAGTTTCAGTGATCTATGGCGCCCGATCCTGCATAGATGGCAATTCTGGTACCAGCATCCAGTCATTACGACCACATTCATATGTGAAGACAATAGTAAGTGTGTGGCTTTCTCTGCTTTCACATCTGAACTAAACGCGCAGCCTAAGTCAGAGACCTGATATCACTTGTGATAGGGGCAGAGTTTGGCCCACACAAGTCTTCATGTCCAACAGTAAGTTGCCTTTCTTGGGGGCCTTGCCTGTCCCTAGAGGCAGAGAGTCTTTGAGGTAGGAGTGACTAAAAGCAGGACAGGTCCAGTAGCACCTCGAGCAACTCCCACCTCACAAGGAGTACATTCTCACTTTGTTCAGTTTATCTGCTGGTCCTATCATTAGTAGTCAATTTAGAAATTTTTTTTGCATATTAAAATTTTAGTAAGGTTCAATAGATTTTTCTCTTTATTCTCAGCTCCTTAATTTGCTGGAAATGTATAATTACTACAGATCAGTGTTGGTTTTTCTTTTATGTTTTATTTACATATAGCTGTTCTCACTTTCATTGCTTAGAGTCTTTGCTTATATCATTGCATTTTATTAAATGCTTTTACACACTGACCGTCTGACTGCTTTTCCTTTCTCAGGCCATTCTTGGGGCAGGGCATTATGTGTATGCAGATCAACCAGAAGACTTCAACCAGAAAGTAAAAGAGATCTGTGACACTGTGGACTGAGCACACTGAAGATGATGTGGGAAAACATACTGACTGATACAATCCCTCAGCAGTAATTCAGTCGATGGTGAAGAGTAAGGAATACAACAAAAGAATGAGGCAGTCTTCTTGACTGTACTTTGCACATGTTTTCTTTGTGAAGTTGCTTGCACATTTAAACCAGTTAGTGCCTTCTAGAAGAATGGCTTTCCTTTCTCCTACACAAAATCGAAATATACAAGAGTCTCTAAACCTAATAGCTTTAATAAAGGTTATTTGTCCTTCTGCTATAGTGAAAAATTAGAATTTTTCAACTGAAATTCTTTTCATTTCTATATAACTTTGCTATGTCAAGTACTTTTTATATTACATTCTATATTGCCAATTTTAAAGAGTGATTTCTGGGTCTATTATTTTATATCCTGTAAAAGTGCACTTTATTTTCTTTGCTTGTTGTTACCATGTCTAATAACTGATATAGTTAATCAAAATTCAATGTGTTTTTATGTAAAACTGTCACTTGTGTAGAATACTTCATTTTGAAATGGAGTGATGAGATAGCATTTTGGTTAAAAAGATGGGAGTTGATCACTAGCATTAATTTTTCTGGTTTTCCCATGTTCTCTATTTATGGCTGCAAAGCCATGTTCAACGTTTTGAATGTCATCCATCCTGACATATCTGCATCAGCATAACTCTGTGGAGTCGTCTATTTGTGATATAATTCTCCACTTCCAGCGAAACATGACATTAATACTTAAGAGATTCAAGTACTGAAAAGCCTTAAGTAAAAGAACTGTTCTTTTTAAAAACCCCCATTAGTACTCTTCTGTGAACCAGGATGCAGCTTTTCAAAGGAACAGATTCCCCGACTGAGAGGATATTAAGACTGTTACCTTCCAGTAAGCCAAATCATATATTTTCATTAACATCTAACTCTATAGATGGGTGCTAAAACTGGATTACATTTTTACCACTAAAATATAAAAATAGGTGGTGCTATTATGTCTCACAGCACCAGAAATAAGGTAGCACTTGGGTTTTGTTTTTTTTTGAGTTTTGTGTTAATTAAATAATTTACATACTTGAAGTTATATTACAAAAATTCTATAAGGTTGATTGAACTATTTAACAATAATTACCATCAAGTGTAGCACTTTCTTGCTGTTTTAAAGTGAGGAAAACTTCTTTGAAACTGTGAAAAAGCTCCATGTGGTAACTGGCTGCTGAGAAAACCCTCTGAAGAAGAAAATTGAATAGAATTGTCACCAAAAAGGCATCTTTGCCGTATATTTTGCTGACAAAACCTTGCTTGTCTCGGAAAAACGTGATTATGTAAATGAAAACAGTGAGGTAGAACAAGTAATGGTTTGACGGTTTTGACTATTACATTTTTTAAATGGTTAATTAGGAGATTTGTAATTGTTAGGAATTGTAAGGTGGTATCACTGTTGATTAACTGCCAGAAAGACCGAATGTTCTGTTTTCAGCATCATCTCCCCTACAAAAGAATAGGCAAATTATACTGAAGCATGACAGATAGCTTCCCCATGAACAGTTTGTCTCACTTGTCGGATTAGCTAGATTAATGTGAAAGGTAACGTGAGAGCCAAGACATGTTGTAAGATTTCTCTACTTTAAGAACGAAAGTAGCCTTTACTTTTTTGTTAGTATTTTGGATGGCCAGATTCAAACCTCTAAGTGGTAAAATAATTTGGGTAATATTTTTGTTTGGTATATTCTCCAGTGTCTCTTAATTATTCTTTGCTGGCCATATGACAGTTTTCACTTGTACAGGAGTTTCTGCCCAGGAAACTTGGTTCCAGCCCTTGAAGGAAGTTACTGGGTTCACTTAGTAAGCTACGGGGTTTCTGGCCACATATGTGCCAAGTGATTCAGGAAAAAGATGTACCCAAATGTCAGGTAGAACTTATTTTCCCACTGACTGATTTTGCTTTATTTGAAAAATAGTGTCATAATTCTTTTTAAAAGTTAAATTTTACCTTGGGCTATAGTATATGTAATTTTGTGAAGATTGAACTAGCAGAGAAGGTTACAATCCTCAAATTCCTGAAAATATGTGGGTGCTAAATGTTTTCTTTAAAAAAATTCTATTAGAGTAATTGATCTCTGCTAGATTATGCACAGTGTACTTTATTTTACAGAATATATTTTACTGTGATAGTGTTGTGTATTTTCTTGAGTTTCTAGTATGGCCCCGTCCATTTCTATTAGTTGTCTTAGGACCATGGATCCAGTAAGTGTTCAGTAGCAGTTGTTGGCATTCTGAGGGAAGGCTGCCCTGCAGTGCTGGGACCTTCATACACGGCTCTACCCATGTGCACACATCCCTTAGTATGATTCCTCTTTTCTTCTAAAACTAATTTTCAAAAACAAGGTTGCTTAAAGTTCGTTTTAGAGTATTATTTAGAAAATACTTTTGAAATGTCTCTATTTGTATATGTATATATATATTTTTATACTTTAAAGGGCATACTAGATCCAAGTAAAACAAGAAGTTTTTCCCTGTGTGAAGGGACTGGAAAGAAGAAACAATGATAGTCAGAAGAACCCTAGAAAAGAAGAGTGGGGAAGGAGGGGATAACTCTACTAGATATCATAACATACTGTAAACAATATAGAGAAAGTCCAGGAATTTGGTATATAAAGGAAGCATCCTATCAATGGAGGAAAAGACTTAGAAAATGGAGTTGAGATAAATGTGCTTAACTATATGGAAGAACATAAAATTGAATCTATTTCTCACACTGTACACACGGATAAAATCTGAATGGATCAGAAACCCAACTGTAAAAATGAAACCTTCTAAATAACTAGAAAAAAACGGTGAATTTCTTTATAATCTGAGAGTAGGGGAAACTTCCCTATGACTGAAAATCCAGAAGCAATAAAAGGAAAGGTTTGTATCTTTAACTGAAAATAGTAGTGTTGGGTGGTCTTAAAAAAACAGTTAAAAAGTAAATAATAAATGGGCAAAAATATTTGCAACATTTATAACAAAAGGCAAATATAGCCCTAATATGTGAAGAATTTCTGAACTTTGAGAAATTGGCAAAATGGGTAAAAAGATATGAACAGACAGTTCGGAGAAAATGCAAATGGCCCTTAAACATATGAGGACATGCCTACTAAGAGAAATGGGAATTTAGACTACCAAGATGCCAAGGCCCATTTTCTTACCTATGAGATTGGGAAAAATCCAAGTAACACAGTGCACTCTGTTGCTGGTGAGACAGTGGGGCAACAGGCACTCTGAAAAGCACAAATTCCTACGGATGGAAGTGGTTAATAATTAGCAAAATTAAATATAGGTTTATCCTTCAGCCAGGCAGTCTCACTTCTAAACCTGTCTGAGGTGTGCTGGCAACAATACGAAATGGCGTATGCACGAAGATCTTCATTATAGCACTGTTTATAACTGCTAAAGGTCGGAAGCCACCCAAATGTGGGAGGGGATTGACGGAAGAAACAATGGTACTTCCATACAGTGGAATACCACACAACTATAAAAAGAAATGAGGCCTGTTTCTGAATACTATTCTGGAGTTATCTCTAAAGCAGAGGAGGTGAAGAATAGGTGGTGTGGTGTGCTACTTACTGTGTAAGAAAGGAGGAGACGAGTGGAAGAAATAGGCATTTGCTCCTATTTTTCTATTTTAAATGCAGTGGAAGAATTAGTTATACCAATAACTAATAAATCAGTTCCCGTGGTGGTGGTGGCAGGGAACTCGACAGGGATGGCAACTAGATCTGTATCTTGTTTTATACTTTTCACTTTGGGATGCTGTCAGTGTTTTCTAAAATTAAAAGTGACTCTTAAAACTAAAATTTAACTATCAGGTTGGAGGTATAACCACACATAGAAGAATTCCTTCAAGTGACTTTAAAGCCCAGCATTTTGTCTGCACTTTCCTAGTGGAATATGTTCTACAGACCAAAGAAATCTTAAACTGCATTCGGCATTTTTTATTTTTAGCAATGATATTGGTGGTGTCATTTTGAAACTGTGTGTATATTTATATGTGATAAAGCAAATATTTATTATGTTCAATGGAATTAAGAGCCAAGATTTTCACCATAAGAGAAAAGAGATACAAAAATAAAGTAAAAGCCCTGTGGTTGTATATTTCAATTGGAAATACTAAATACTGTAGTTTATTTTTCTCTTTCTGAAAAACACATTTTGCATAGCTTTGTCCACTGAAAAGACCTAGAAAAAGTCACAACCTGGCAGTAAGGTCCACCATAGCACCAAGCCTGTCCCACTAAAAGGGGCAGGGAAGGGACAGCATGAGGCTGGAACATCTTATGTCTGAAAGCTAGGAAATAATCAGAGTAACGTCATGTCAGAAGGACCCAGGAGCCAACTTGAAGGGATTCCCATTGGCAAAAGATGGAACGATTTGAACATCAAAAGGAATAGTGGATTGAAACATATGAAAATCCATGAGGTCATAATGATAGGTAAAAAACCAAACTATTGGTTACCTTTGGAGGTTGCTAGGGCACCAACCCATTATTTTGAAAATTGCTAACTGGAAAAATGAAGCGTTTATCCTGACTTTCTTGTGTATCAGGTTAACTTGATAAGGGAAAGTTCTTCACTTAAGAATCATAGCTAAATATAGCCAGAGAAATGATTGGGTTAAGAAATCACCATTTTGTCACTTCTAGTGAAGTAATGGATCTAGGCTGCTAAAAGTATTAGGTGAAAGTTGATGATGGGAAACATTTTTTGGATGGCTCAGGTTGGTAACATCTGAACTCAGTGATCAATCTTAGCATTACTGAAAAAAGAACAACCAGATGTTACATGCCTGCGATGTGTTGCAATACTAAGAACCCAACACCAGCCACGATGAGGTATTGCCCAAAATGGAATTGAACCTGAATCTAATCAAGCTTCTGCATCTAACAATCAGTTTGTAAAAACTCCGGATATTGGGGCCAGCCTGGTGGTGTAGTGGTTAAGGTCACGCACTCCGCTTCAGTGGCCCAGGGTTCCTGGTTTCAGATCCCGGGCACAGACCTGCACTCATCAGGCTGTGCTGTGGTGGCATCCCACATACAAAAATAGAGTAAGACTGGTACAGATGTTAGCTCAGTGACAATCTTCCTCAAGCAAAAAGAGGAAGATTGGAAAACATGGGATACCGAGGAACATGTTAACATGCTAAATCGAGAATGTGGGAAATTCCGTAGGATGAGTAATCCAACTTCTTCAATAAATTGAAAGTGTAAAATAAAGGTGGTGATGATAGGACTTACAGATTGGAGAAACTTAAAGGACTTATTTCGGTCCTGATTTGAACAAAAAAAACTTAGACATTTTTCGAGACACTTAGAGGAAAATGTAAGGTGGATTGGATATCAGATGATATTAAGGAATTATTAATTTTGTTGGGTGAAATAATGATACAGTGACTACGTTTGTTGTTTTTTTAAGCCTTTATCTGTTAGAGATACATACTAAAGTATTTGTGGTTGAAATTATGACTGGGATTTACCTAAATATATTCCAAGAAAAAAAAGGCAGAGGGCAGGAAATAGGTAAAATGCGCAAAATGTTACGTTGAAGCTGAGTGACAAATACATAGGGGCTTATGTAGGGGTTTATTATTCTATTTCCTCTACTTTTTTGCATGCTTAAGAATTTCCATAATAGAAATGTAAAGAATAAAAGAATCCGGAGAGATTGGAGACTGCCAGTGTAGACAACTTTGTTTTGGGAGTAAAGAAAGAGCAGACAAGTGGGTAATAGCTGGAGGGGGAACTTGATGAATAACCCAGCAGAGAGAGGGAGAAAGTGGTGATGCAGAAGAGAATGGTTCAGGTGAGGCATTAGCAAGGCTAAGGGCAAATAGGAACTCTAATATACTCTTGGTGGGACTGTAAATAGGTATTACCCATTTGGCAAGTAATTTACAATATATGGTAAAATTCTAAGTGCTCTATACTACTTGACAGCCATATTTTTCCAGTTTTCAGTCCCACATACACCAGCACCCATATGCAAAGACATCTACAAGATGTTCATTGCAACGTTGTAATATTAAAAGTCTGGAACCTAATATATGATTGATTAAATTCTGGTACATTTAGGGGTCCACCCAGTTCCTGTGCTCTGCTTCATCGGCCCGGGCTTGGCTCGTTTGGATCCTGGGCACGGACCTATGCACCCCTTAGCAAGCCAAGCTGTGGCAGGCGTCCCACATATGAAATAGAGGAAGATAGGCACAGATGTTAGCTCAGGGCCAATCTCCTTGAGCAAAAAGAGGAGGATTGGCAGCAGATGTTAGCTCAGGGCTCGTCTTCCTCAGGAAAAAAAAAATTATAGCACATCTGTACACTGGAATATTATGAAGCCTTAAGAATGAGGTAGATCTCAATATATATGTGTAGCAAATCACATTGTATACCTTAAACTTACTTATGTTGTATGTCAATAATATTTCAATGAAGCTGGAAAAAATGAGGTTTATAAGTCATAATATGGAAAATTTCCAGAATATCTTTAGTGAAAAAATTTTTAAAAATCAAAAACCAAAATTCAGAATAGTATTTTATATGTATACATACATACACACATATATATATATACACACACGTATGTATATATGTACAGAATAGTGTGTCTATAAAGTTATATGAAGATAGACTTATGTGCTCATATATTTGACATTTTGGGGAGGATAAATATGCACATGAATTTGTTAACAGTGGTTATCTTTGAAAAGGGACAATTCTTTCTGTTGTGTATGCTTTTGTAAATTTTGGATCCTTGTGCATTCGTTATGTTTTAATAAAAAACAAAATATAGAAAAAACATTTTGGGGGCCGGCCCAGTGGTGCAGCGGTTAAGTTTGCACGTTCTGCTTCTTGGTGGCCCGGGGTTTGCCGGTTTGGATCTTGGGTGTGGACATGGCACTTCTTGGTAAAAGCCATGCTGTGGTAGGCGTCCCACGTATAAAGTAGAGGAAGATGGGCATGGATCTTAGCTCAGGGCCAGTCTTCCTCAGCAAAAAGAGGAGGATTGGCAGCAGGGAGCTCAGAGCTGATCTTCCTCAAAAAAAAAAAATTTTTGGTTAATACGAAATAGGTAAAAAAATAACTAAAGGGCTTACCAGCTGTGGTGTTATCTGTGTGGATGTGCAGACCAGACTGGGGAAGAGGGACAGGTATTCAGAGTATGGCAGGCTGTAAGTCTCAGTAATTTAATTATCACAAACTGAGCTATAAAGTTATAATTGGTCTGTCTCTGCTCTTCTTAAGATAGAAACACAGTCCCAAAATGAAACTGCCCTCTTCATTTGTCCTCTTTTACTTAATCTTGAAAGGGGCACTTGAATTAGAATGTATATTTCTCTATATCTGTTAAGCTCTGCCTCTATTTCTGTCTCTCCCCATCTCATCCGCCCCACCATATCTTTCCTGCTATTTCCTTTAAAAATCATCCTTAAAAAAATTTTTTTTATGTTATATTAAATTAGAACCTGTTAGAATTTCTCTGTTTTCTGCCTAGAGCCTGGCTTTAGGACCACTTCATTAGATTAGCTCCCAGATTTAAAATTGAAATTCCTATCAAGTAGTTTTCTAAATGACATGGGTAAGGAATTTTATTCCACCATATATTTTAATCCTTAAAAATTTTTCTGTATATTCACTTAAGTCTTAAAAGGTTTCCATGAAGTGCCTATTAATTGAAAATTTAGAATAACATACACTTACTTTTTCTTATTAAACATTGTATTCATTTTGAGAGAGGGGTGCCTTGGCTGACAGATGCAAAGGCTGAGAGTTCTAAATCTGGTTTGCCACATTGTATGATTCTGGACACTTGGCATGGAGACAGGTATGAAGAGCTAAATGACTGGGCACATTTCCTCCTTGGTAAAATTAGAGTCATTACAATGACCAGGGAGGGGGAAGGACAAGTACGTTACAAACGTTACTTCTGTGTTTGTCATGTGTGTTATGAGTTGTTTTCCTAGCTTTTATCTATGAATGTTTTTATAATTGGAAGTTACAGCAATGGAAACAATTAAATGTTGAGACCAAGATGCCAGCCAGCTTGTCATATTTCTGCTGATTCACAAAAACCCCAACAAATCTTTAACATAATATCTATTTAAGACTTGAAAATGCTGCTTTCCATGGAGTGGAGGGGCAGCAGGGTTAGAGGATATGAGGAGTCAAAGATGGCAGAGGTAGGGAGGCGTCCCGCTGACCTGTAGGAGACTGTTGAGGGACAGCTGTCCCATCTTTATATTGCCTCCTTCGATATCAAAAAGTTTTCAGTGATGATCTTAAGGAGTGAAGCATCTCCCCTCTGCCTCTGAATGACCTCTCAGCTTCACGTGGCCAGCACCAAAGATGCAGGCAGCTGACCCATCTTCCTTGGCAACCAAAGACAGAGACCACACTCTCAAGTACAGCCTGTTTCAGCAAACCTCTGAGTGTAAGACATGGACGACACCAACTCTCAGAGCAGCCAGGCTTAAACTTGAGGGTGCCTGAGTCATCGAGGCTGCTTGTTACAAAGGCGGACTTGAGGCACTACCCCCCAGAGATTCACATTCTGCAGATCTGTGGGTGGGGCTTGGGAATCTACGTTTTTAACAGGCATGCCTCAGGACATCTGACTTAGGAGTGTTGATTTTTTGTTTGGTTTATTAGGCAGGTACTTTGGTTGGACTCGAACTACAAACGCTGTCTCTTGGTAGCAGCTGAAATCTCAGTTCAGTTGTTTTATCCTTAGCCATAGTCTGCCTGTATAGCCAACCAAAAATTCAGATAAGATTATATTCAGACTTTGAGGCTCCCCTCTGACTCTCACCTTTCCAGGACTCCCCCCTCATTTTGCAGTGGCTGTGCTTGCCCTGAACTCTGTACTCTGTTTCTTGAAGCCAGAAAGACTGCTGGTTTTCTACTAGCGTTCTGGTAAACCTCCCCATTTCGTGACCCTGAGTCATGGCCTTCCCTCAGGCTAAGAGCTGGGAAGATGCTGTCCTCTGTTCCCAGTGTCCACTCCCTCCCCGAATGGGCTTTCTTTTGTTCATTCTCTATCACCTTCAGGCTGTCATTTCTTGATATCTTCCAGTTTATCATTGTTGTCAGTGGGTGGGTTAGTCCCCAGTAGGATCTTCCTCAGCTGTACTGGAAGTAGAACTCTTGGATCAGACCTCAAGATCACTCTTTTCTAGTGTTCCTGCTGTACAAGCTTGAGACTTGATCAGGTAGAGGCTGGCCTCGCTGAAAGACACATTTGCATCTTATTTCTGTACTTACTTTACATACCATCAGCCTACTGTGGCCACATCTAGCAACTATGGATATTTCAGTTTGCTGTAGAAATGTAAACAAGACATAGCCAATGCAGGAAAAGCAGTGTGGTATTTGTACTACTTTTAGAGAATGAGGCCCCAAACTTAGCTGAGATGAAAACCAAATACAGCTTGCAGTCAATATCCTGTGTAGAAACTGCCATTTCTGTCTCATCTCCCTACAGCAGCTTCCTTTTAAGCTCTTCAATCTTTAGCTTTTGCTGGCCTCTCAGGCCTTGCTTACCCTCCCCAGCAGCGGCTCCAGAAGCTTGCAATGTTTTGTTTGTCTGTTGTTCCCCAGGCCTCTGCTCTCTCTGGGGTTGTATTTCTTGTTCTTCTCGTTGGAGCCGTGCTGGCTCATTGTAATCTCACAGCCCTAATGCTGCACATTTTTACTAAGCCAACAAAAGCAAAATGGTTAAATTTTTGAGAGATGTCAAATTCTTATAAATCAGGAAGGTTCTAACAACTCCAGATTGTACAATAAACCCCCACATTCTGCATTACTCAGAACCCCATGACACCAACTATAGGATAAGGTTGGTGAAATCTTATTAGTCTGGAAGCCAGTGAAAATCTTGAGGGTGAAATGCCTTTAAACTTCTGCATTACTGCTGGAAACTATTCTTTGATTTCCTAACGCCAACCCATAAAAGCCCTAAAAGGTGACACTTCCGATACATTTCCTCCATATCTCCACTCTCCAATGCTGATCCAGAAGGAATATGAAAATAATGAGCTGATACTAATGAGGGGTTTATTTACTACACTGAGACTGAGGAAGCGGGATCTGGAATTCTGAGAATCACAGTCCTTTTGATGTGGATTAAGGCTGCCCCAGCTAGAGAAGCCCAAGGTGACCTGGCCTACATGCCAAACTATATGACCCAGTGGACTTTTTTTTATGGTATGAATTAGGACTGCCCCAGGGAGAGAAGCCCGGGGCATCCTCACCTGCATGCCGATCTATATGGCCAGATTCGTATCTAAAGTTATATGACCGCACAATAACCAGACCCCATCTGCACTGAAATCATTTAATGACTTTTTACATCATCTTTTCTTTTTTTCCAGTAAAAATAAGTCACATACCCATGCCTTATAAAATTAGCCCTAACCCTCAACTCGGGGCAGCAGCAGGAGCTCTGACTGCCCGTGGGTCTTGTCCCCACGCACCAGCTCTGCCTGCCCATGGGTCCTGTCCCCATGCCAGCGGGGGCAGCAGCAGGAGCTCTGACTGCCCGTGGGTCTTGTCCCCACGCACCAGCTCTGCCTGCCCATGGGTCCTGTCCCCATGCCAGCGGGGGCAGCAGCAGCTGCTCTGCCTATCCATGGGCCCTGTCCCCATGCCAGTGGGGGCAGCAGAAGCGGCGGCAGCAGAAGCTCTTACTGCCCATGGGTCCTGTCCCCATGCTATTCCACACTATTCTCTAAATAAAAGAGCACTACTGCCAGATCTTGAGAGTCTAAGAAATCTTTCTTTCGACTCCTTGGCTCACCGATCCCGCATCATTTCGACCTGTGAATTGCTGCTCTCACATCTGCCTCCTCATTCATTAATCTTTGGGCTGTGGGAACAGGAGCCAGCCATTAAGTCAGGTGTCACACACATACCTATTGAGCAACCTCCACTGTCGGAGACACAGTCGAGAACCGAGGCAGAGGAATAAGACCTGAGTGCTTAAAATGGACACCGCTAAGCCTTGCACATAAAGCCCTGGATGTAGGGAAACACAGAGACCCTCCCTCAGCGTTCAAGCAGCTGGCATTCTCACCGCACTTCCAAACTGCTCTTTTTAGTCTGCTGAGTGGTTCGAATTGCATGTAACAAGCAAGGGTTTCCTGGTTCCTAACCTGTTTGCTGGGAGAGAGACTGAGCAGCAAGGAGCAGCAAAGAAAAAGCTGGTTCATTTTAAAATATGAGTCTTTTAAGTTTTCATGGCAACTCTAATCATAATGGCCTTGGGCAGAGCTCCCAAGAGACCCACCCCTGTGGAAAAGCAATAGGTCCCTTTCCTGGTAAGGACGGGCTAAAGGATGCATGACTGCAGAGACCTCATGGTGAAGTCAGCAGAGAATATACGATTGGGAGCCTGGTGTGTTTGAGGAATGGAGAGCAGGTCATCTCAGTTGATCGGAGGAAAATGGCATCCTGTGGGTGAAGACAGAAAAAGCGCTTTTACAAAAGGTGCCACAAGTACCTTATTTTGCCCTTACTATCTGTTCTGTGTACCTCATAAGATTTTGGATTTCATTCTAAAGGCAACACACAGATGTAGAAGTGAGTATGAAGAGGTTGGAGGATGGGACCAGGTACATTTGAAAGATAGCTCCCAAACCATCTCCATTTTACAAAGGAGGAAAATGAAGCTCGGAGAGGTTAAGTGACTTGCTCAAGATCACACAGCTAATGAGTGGTCAGCCAGGACATTGCAACCAAAACAGTCTCCTCTCCTTTAGAGTTCTTTTCATTCGGACTTCTGTTTGCAGTGTTTT